CCCCAAACCAAACAAAGACACCTCCAAAAAGGAGAACTATAGGCCAATCTCCTTAATGAACATCAATGCAAAAATTCTCAATAAAATAATGGCAAACTGAATCCAACAACACATCAGAAAGATTACTCACCAAGACCAAGATGGCCTCATCCCAGGGATGCAGGGGTAGTTCAACATACGCAAATCTATAAATGTAATACAGCACATTAACAGAAGCAAAGACAAAAACCACTTGATCATCTCAATAGATGCAAAAAAGCCTTTGATAAGATCCAACACCACTTCATGATAAAAATGCTAAGAAAACTAGGAATAGAAGGAATGTACCTCAACATTATAAAGGCTATATATGACAAACCTACAACCAACATCATACTTAATGGTGAAAACCTGAAACCATTTCCCCTAAAATCAGGAACAAGACAAGGATGCCCACTATCCCCACCCCTATTCAACATAGTCCTGGAATTCCTAGCCAGAGCAATTAGGCAAGAGGAAGAAATAAAAGGAATAGAAATAGGTAAAGAAGCTGTCAAAATATCCGTATTTGCAGATGATATGATCCTATTCCTTAAAGACCCAAAAAACTCTACTCAAAAACTCCTCAATACCATAAACAGCTACAGCAAGGTGGCAGGATACAAAATCAACTTACAAAAATCATTAGCTTTTCTATACACCAATAGTGAACGTACTAAGAAGGAACATGTGGAAACAATTCCATTTACAATAGCCTCAAAAAAAATCAAATACCTTGGAATAAATTGTCAATGATCTCTATAAGGAGAATTATGAACCCCTGTAGCAAGAGATTGAGGAAGATTGTGGAAGATGGAGAGATCTCCCGTGCTCATGGATTGGTAGAATCAACATAGTAAAAATGTCTATACTCCCAAAAGTAATCTACATGTTTAATGCAATTCCCATCAAAATTCCAATGACATTCATTACAGAGATTGAAAAATCTACCGTTAAATTTATATGGAAACACAAGAGGCCACGAATAGCCAAGGCAATACTCAGCAAAAAGAGCAATACTGGAGGTATCACAATACCCAACTTCAAACTATATTACAAAACAATAGCAATAAAAACAGACATGAAGACCAGTGGAACAGAATAGAGAACCCAGAGATGAATCCATACAGCTATGCCCACCTTATTTTTGACAAAGGGGCCAAATATATATTTTGGAGAAAAGATAGCCTCTTCAACAAATGTTGGGAAAAGTGGCTATCCATCTGCAAAAAACTGAAACTAGATCCATGTTTATCACCTTATACTAGTATCAACTCAAAATGGATCAAGGACCTTAATATCAGACCCAAAACTCTGATGTTAGTACATGAAAGAGCAGGGAATACTCTGGAAGTAATAGGTATAGACAAGGACTTCGTCAATAGAACCCCAGCAGCTCAGCAACTAAGATAAAGGATGGACAAACGGGGCTTCATAAAATTAAAAAGCTCTGCACAACAAAAGACATGGTCTCTAAACTGAAGAGACCATCCAGAGAGTGGGAGAAAATATTTGCCAGCTATACATCAGATAAAGGACTGATAATCAGAATATACAGGGAGCTTAAAAAACTAAACTCTCCCAAAATTAATGAACCAATAAAGAAATGGGCAGCTGAACTACACAGAACTTTTTAAAAGAAGAAATTCAAATGGCCAAAAAACACATGAAAAAATGCTCACCATCTCAAGCTATAAAAGAAATGCAAATCAAAACCACACTAAGATTCCACCTCACCCCTGTTAGAATAGCTATCATCAAAAACACCAACAGCAACAGGTGTTGGCAAGGATGTGGGGGGAAAGAAACCCTCATACACTGTTGGTAGGAATGCAAGCTAGTACAACCACTCTGGAAAAAAATATGGAGGCTTCTTAAAAATTTAAATGTAGATCTGCCATATGATCCAGCAATCCCACTCCTGGAGATATACCCAAAGGAATGCAACACAGGTTACTCCAGAGGCACCTGCACACCCACGTTTATTGCAATGCTATTCACAATAGCCAAGTTATGGAAAGAGTCAAGATGCCCCACTACTGACAAATGGATTAAGAAAATGTGGTACTTACACACAATGGAGTTTTACTCAGCCATGAAGAAGAATGAAATCTTATCATTTGCAGGTAAATGGATGGAACTGGAGAATATCATTCTGATTGAGGTTAGCGAGGCTCAGAGACTAAAATTCATGTTTTCTGTCATATGCAGACTTTAGATCTATGGCAAATACAGCAATGTTGTTGGACTTGGGTCACACGTTAAGGGGAGAGCACATACATCAGATGTGGGGATAGGTAGGAAACCCAAAACTTGAAAGTGTTTGATGTCTCCACTGCAGAGTAACTAATACAGTAACCCTAAAGTGACAGAGGTTAATATGGTACGGGGATCAGGAACTAGTGAAAAGGTCAGGTAGAGATGAATCAATTTGGGTTGAAACACACTTGTATATGGAAGCAATGCTGGGAATTTTTCTGTATAGCTATCCTTATCTCAACTAGCAAAAATGCTATGTCTTTCTTATTATTGCTTATGTCTTCTCTTCAACAAAATGGAGAAGCCCAGAAATGAGGAGGGGTGGGTGGAGAGGGAGTGGTGGGGGAAGGAGGGAGAAATGGCCCAAACAAGGTATGCACATATAAATAAATAAATAAAAATGTGAGTATTCATGGTTGTCTTAAATAATCCAGGGCATGTTCGAAGATAGCATAAAACACAGGAAAAAATTAATTCACAAAACCTTGATTTTTCTAGGCAGATTATTAAAATGGTAAAGAAATGTTACAGTTAAGAGAAGACCAATGATTCAAGAGACTTTGCTTTTGTTTTGTAATTGCATTCTTTTGATTTTAAGGTTTATTTTTAAAAATGTAAATGAATTCATTCAAATATTTAGCCAGCTTTTTCACACATATAATTACTTTTCTATGATTCACTTTTACAAAGCTATTAATCTCCATACAGTTTCTACTTTCTCAATTTTTAATACCCAAATATTCCTCTTTAAAATAAGATTATGTGTTTCTTCCTTGAATAAAATCACATGTATTAAATCAAACACATACTTTTCCTTATTGAAAGACTATCTTACTGTTCCTGGATACTCTTCATACAGGGTTGTTCACTTGTCATTTTTGGTTAGTTTCATTTACACATATTTATTTTAATTATTAACCACCAATAACTTTTCTTTTTCAGAAAAAATAGGAGGCAGATAATTGTGAATTATCAGTCGTACACCAGGGTTATTTAATGGGATAATGCTATTAATTCATTTCACAATTTCTAGAGGCATATGAGTCCTCAAAGTGCAGTTTTTCAATGTAACAAAAACATGTTTATTCACAGACTGAAACATATTTAGTTTGTTTACACTCTATATAAATATTATATAAAATAAGATGCTAAAAGCATATAAACTTTATGCTTAGTGATGAATATTTTAGTAGTTTTCTTAGAATTGATCTAGATAATTAATATGTGTTACTTAGTTCAACTTAACATAACTTTAAGGTTGCAAGTTACCAAAATACCCTGGAAATTGTTTTTAGGCATATATAACATTGAACAATGTTATCAATAGTCTTAAGTAATTTCCATTAAATATTTTTACATCATATGCATGTTAGGCAAAAAATACAAAATTAAAATCTTAAAACATGGATTCTTGTTTTACTACTATCTTTGATGTACATGAAGTAATCAGTTTCAAGCAATTCACTTTTTTTGGTTTTTATTTATTTATTTATTTATTTTATTCATAAGTGCATATCATGTTTGGGTCATTTCTCCCCCCTTTCCCCTGCCCCCTCCCTCTCCCCCTTACCCCCTCACTACCAGGCAGAAACCATTTTGCCCTTATCTCTAATTTTGTTGAAGACAGAGTATAAGCAATAATAGGAAGGACCAAGGGTTTTTGCTATTTGAGATAAGGATAGCTATACAGAGAGTTGACTTGCATTGCTTTCCTGTACATATGTGTCACATTTTAAGTTGATTCTTCTTGAACTGACCTTTTCTCTAGCTCTTGGTCCCCTTCTCCTATTGGCCTCTGTTGCTTTAAAGTTTCTGCATTAGTTCCTTTGCATTGAGGACATCAGATGCTATCTTGTTTTTTTGGATTTCTTGCCTATCCTCATACCTCTCTTGTGTGCTCATGCCTCATCATGTGATCAAAGTCCAATCTCCTTGTTGTGTTTGCCCTTGATCTAAAGTCTGCATATGTGGGAGAACATATGACTTTTGGTCTTCTGGGACTGGCTAACCTCGCTCAGGATTGTTTTCTCCAGTTCCATCCATTTACTTGCAAATGATAAGATTTCATTCTTCTTCATGGTTGAGTAGTATTCCATTGGGTAAAAATACCACATTTTCTTAATCCATTCATCAATAGTGGCATCTTGGCTGTTTCCATAACTTGGTTATTGTGAATAGTGCTGCAATAAATATGGGTGTGCAAGTGCCTTTGGAGTAACCTGTGTTGCATTCCTTTGGGTATATCCCCAAGAGTGGTACAAGAATTCACTTTTGATGTACCTGTATTCATACATTTGGTCTTAGGTTGAATTAATAGTTTTTAATAACTTATGAATGTGGAAATATCACAATGAAATTCCCTGTATAACTATAATATACAAACATTTTATAAAAAAACAAAAAATAATTAAAAAATAAAAGTTCTTACAATCTTAAACATCCAGTTGATATAATATTACCTTTTTCAACTAATAAACCAAATACACTAAGATTTACTGAGGCTAGTAAAAGAAGGAAGGGGGAACAGAAATAGTGGGGAGAGAGTGCCCTAGGAACCAGACTAGAGAGATATGTGAGATGATGTTATGAAGCAGCTGTTGCACAGCCTGGTTCCTTATTGGCTCATTCCACTTGTTCTGCATTCATTTACTGATCAGTTGTTTATGTGATTAAGAATCCCAGTTAGCTTTGCCTTTGGCACAGTTTCTCTAAAACCAGATTTCTTATCTGTTCTTCACACAGTATACAATGGGGTTCATCAACAGAGGCACCATCAGGAAAACATCAGCCACGAGAATCTTCATTACTGGGGAACTGTGTGCAGCAAACCGGTAGATAACAGCAAGGGAGATAACGGGAACATAGAAGATGAGTACAACACAGATGTGGGAGGCACAAGTATAGAGCACCTTGAGCCTTTCCTTCTGTGAGGCTATGCTAAACACTGCTTTCAGTATCAGCACGTAAGACATGAAAATAAATGCTATGTCCAAGATGCCTGTGAGAGCCACAAATAAAACATAGGTGACATTGACCTTGTTGATAGAGCAGGCCAGCTTCATGACATCCTGATGGAGACAGTAGGAATGGGATAGGAAGTTCTTCTTACAATATCTTAGGTGTTTTGGAGTTAAAGGGAAGGGCAGGATCAACAAAATATTTTTGAGAGAAAAAGTAAGCCCTATTTGAGTGACTCTGGCACTAGTAAGGATGGATGTATATGTCAGAGGGTTATAGATGGCAGCAAAGCGATCTAAGGACATAATAAGTATGGAAGACTCCATAGCTGAGAATTCATGAGTGAAAAACTCTTGAGCAAAACATGCATTAGGGGAAATTTCTGGAGCATTGAATAAGAAAATCTTAAGCATGGTGGGGAAAGATGAGAGAGATGGTCCTAGATCAGAGAAAGCCAACATGGAGAGGAAATAATACATGGGTTCATGCAAAGTAGGCTCTGTTTTTATGAAAAAGAGAATGGTACAGTTCCCCAGGATGGCAGCAACATACATGAGACATACAGGAATGGAGATCCAAATGTTGATAGACTCCATCCCTGGAATCCCAAATAAACAGAATGCAGAAATTTCAAATTCAGAGGTGTTGAGGATAGACACACCAGTATGTATGGGAACCAAGATGAAAGTCTCAGAAGAGGCATCCTGTAGTGGTACAAATAGATTGTCTCCAATGTCTGACTCTAAACTATTGGCATCATTGAGATCTTGTCAAACCAAATGATATAGAAATAATTCTTAGATATAAACCTAATGGAGAAAAATAGATAGAAGTAGGCATTGGTATGCAACTAAAGCAAAAACTGAGAGAAAAAATAAAGCAAATTAATAACAAAATCTAATCTTAAAACAGGTATAGATTATTACAGTTAAAACCTTATATAAAGGCTATTATAGAAGTAAGATATAGGTGCCTACTAGCCAAGTAAAAGACTTGAGACTGTTGGCTTTTTACATAAATATTACAAGTAGTTATCTAGAAAAGAAGATTTCATTTTGCTGTAAGGAATGTCATTTCTCATATGAAAGGATGAATCTTTAGAAGATTCCAGCTTCTGGCACTTTTTTAGATTTAGGATCTGTGAAACAAAGAGAAGCCATCCCTGCTGTGCTCTGCTCAAATTCCTGACCCATAGGTTTTGTGAGCATAGTAGCAGACTGTTATAGGCCACTAAATTGTGAGTAATTTGTTACATAACCATAGGAACAGGAGCAATAACAATTTTCATAAAAGAGATTTGCATTTCAACTAAAATAAAAAAGATTGTAAAGTACCTTACAAAATTAAATATAATGCAAATAGGGCAGGGATAGAGTGGAAGAGAAACACATAAAAAGTAGAAACATTTGTCAGGCACCCAGCATATTATAACAGCTACAGCTTATAGATATTGTTCTTCCTGTGTAAGGAGCTGCAAAAACTATGATTTAATGTTCCTACCCTATAAGCACACTAGTATTATCTCTATTTTACATATCACACACAAATAAGAAATAAAATAATCTAACATTTAATGAGAAATAATATCCTAACACTAAAACTATGAAAATGTATCTTTATCTTGTTTTTTTGAATAGCACATTTTGTATCCTTATAATAAGTCACCTTTGTGACTGTTACTAATACAGACAAGGGGTTGTCAAGGACCAGATGGTAAATATTTGTCTTTGACAAATATCATTTTTAGAAAATTTGGAGGAAAACCGAACATGCACATATGATTCCAGTCCTCAGTTTTTGGCTCAGAAGGACCTACCCAACTAAATTCTCTACTTTGTAGAAATGTAAAAATTAAAATGCAGTTTTTGTAACAGATACAGAGTACATTTAAATAATGGAGTTATCATAAAGTTCAGTATATATATATATGGAAGTTAAATATAAGACACATATCATGTTCTTTATGTTTAGTAGTGATGTTTAATATGGTCGGTTCTCTATTATGAAGACTATTTTAGGTCTTGAGTATATCCTGAAATGGAAATAAGCATTAAAGGATAAAATCAAGGATTTGATTATCAAGCTTAAGTTACTCATCTGAATGTGCTTAATTTATGAGATACACAATAGGAACATTAAGTTTTCAGGTACTTACAAAGGTTCTTACTACTTGGTCTGCACCTCAAGGTTGAAAAAGAGATGAACCCAGGATGAAGCCACTCCAACTCCTATTATAAGCACACAAATACATCCTGGCAGTCTGATTATGGTCCTTCTATCCCAATGCTATTTGTAGAACAGAGACCTCAAGGGAGTAAACTCAGGGGGCTGTATCCAGAGAGACTATTAAGCCCCAGGTATTTCATTCAGGAGAGATGTTGAGTGAGAGTCCATTCAAGAGGAGTTCAGTTGTATTCTCATTATGCATGTGAATTTGCCATTTGTGGTTAACTGCCTACAAAGCCTACTTCATACAACAGAATTTATTTCCCTTTCACCTGCACATTGAGATTCCTCTTCATGGCTGCGTAAAATTCCATTGTGTATAGATACCACATTTTCCTGATCCATTTGTCAGTAGTGGGGCATCTTGGCTGTTTCCATAACTTGGCTATTGTGAAGAGTGCTGCAATAAACATGGATGTGCAGGTGCCTCTGGAGTAACTTGTGTCACAGTCTTTTGGGTATATCCCCAAGAGTGGTATTGCTGGATCAAATGGTAGATCAATATTTAGCTTTTTAAGTAGCCTCCAAAGTTTTTTCCAGAGTGGTTGTACTAGTTTACATTCCCATCAACAGTGTAAGGAGGTCCCTTTTTCCCTGCATCCTCACCAACATCTGCTGTTGGTGGTGTTGCTAATGATGGCTATTCTAAAAGGGGTGAGGTGGAATCTTAGTGTGGTTTTAATTTGCATTTCCTTTATTGCTAGAGATGGTGAGCATTGTTTTCATGTGTTTTTTGGCCATTTGAATTTCTTCTTTTGAGAAAGTTCTATTTAGTTCACTTGCCCATTTCTTTATTGATTCATTAGTTTTAGGAGAATTTAGTTTTTTAAGTTCCCTATATATTCTGGTTATCAGTCCTTTGTCTGATGTGTAGCTGGCAAATATTTTCTCCCACTCTGTGGGTGTTCTCTTCAGTTTAGAGACCATTTCTTTTGATGAACAGAAGCTTTTTAGTTTTATGAGGTCCCATTTATCTATGCTATCTCTTAGTTGCTGTGCTGCTGGGGTTCCATTGGGGAAGTTCTCACTTATACCTATGAACTCCAGAGTATTTCCTACTCTTTCCTGTATCAACTTTAGAGTTTGTGGTCTGATATTCAGATCCTTCATCCATTTTGAGTTAATATTGGTATAGGGTGATATACACGGATCTAGTTTCAGTTTTTTGCAGACTGCTAACCAGTTTTCCCAGCAGTTTTTCTTGACAAGGCTGCTATTTCTCCATCGTATATTTTTAGCTCCTTTGTCAAAGACAAGTTGGTTATAGTTGTGTGGCTTCATATCTGGGTCCTCTATTCTGTCTTCATGTCTTTGTGCCAGTACCATGCTGTTTTTATTATTATTGCTTTGTAATATAGTTTGAAGTCAAGTATCCCTGTTTTTTCTGTCTTCCTGTCATTGCCCTTGATATTGTTATTGTCCCTGTACTGTGTGCAATTAAGTATTTTCTGGCTTGTAATAATAGCACTAGTGACATTTAGAATGGAAGGGTGAGAGGGGATGGAAAGCAAAGAAGTTAAAGGAAAAGTGTAAAACAAATAATCAAGTAGAAAAAAAACAAAACAAAGAAACAAACAAAAAAAGTGTCAAAGATATAAACAGGGAGAGACAGTGTACTAATCAACTGCAAGCTGGAAAGGCATTAGAGAGACAGAGAGAGGATTGAAAGTAAAATTAAAAAGAGTAAAGTTAAGAATAAAAATTAAAAAAAAGTAAATGAAAGAAAAAATAAAATAAAATAAAACAAAATAAAAAATAAAAAATAAAAAAACCCTCCAAGTTCAAATGCAATGAAATTTCAGTCTTAATAATTTTGGTGTTTGTCCCTCAGGCTGCAATCCTGGAGATGGTGCCTCCAATGTTGTTTTGTAGTTGTCTTATCAAAGGGGAGACATAAAGTAGAACAAAACTGCACAAAAAAAAAAAACCCACCAAGTGTCCCAAGTTCAAATGCAATACAGTTTCAGTAAGTTTTTCAGCATGCAGGTGTAGTTTGGTTGTTTTCTCATCAAAGGTAGGGAGAGAGAAAAAAAAAGAGTCTGGAGACAGTTCTGAGAATGGAATCTGCAGCTGTGGCTTGCCTGCCCGCTGCTGTCAGCCTGCTGTTGCTGGAGGTGTTGTTTATGCAGATCTCAGGGGTGAGCTTAACACTCCCCTGACCCCACAGGCTTTGTTTACTCAGAGTTCTCCTGTGCTCGAGCTTCTGCTACAAGCTTTCACCTTTCCAAGCACACTGGGGGAAGTGACACTGCACCCACTTTCTCAGGCCTGAGTGTTTATGTACAGTTCACGTGGGAGGTGGGTCTTCCCCCCTCTCCTGTGGAGTCTTCCTCCCTCCGCCACTCTCACAAGCTTTCCTGCTCCTGGTTGCTGGGCGCACACCCCCGCTCCCGCAGGAGCCTCTCCGGCCAGGCCCGGCTTGTTTATTTACAGTTCTGGGAAGGATTCCCCTCCTCCCCTCTTCAGTGCTCAGTGCACCCCACCCTCTTTGCAATGTGTCTTTATTGTTCTTATTGCTTATTACTCAGTTTCTCTTTTTTCCCCAGGTGGGGGTCAGTCTGTCCAGGGGGCTATGCTGATCTGGCCCAGGCTTGTCTGTGGAAGTACCACGTACTGCTTAGCTCACCTTGTCCGCATCTTTCCAAGCCGTCTGGGCATGGGCAACTGGCGGCCCGGGGGCCCTCCTGGTTTCTCCGTTTAACATGATGTCCTATATGTACTTTGGTATAACATTTCCAAGTCCAGAATCAAAGTCTCTGAACCCACAATATTTGGCATAGTAGAAATGGAAAATATATGTTCCCTGAGTAAGTAAAAGAGACTTTCAGTGATGACAGGACTATTTTCACCAATAGATTCATATCTTCTCCTTATTGAAGGACAGAAACATAATTATTTTTATTTAGGGTATATATTGTGTCTTTAAGGATGCTGTTGCAGCCTCCTGGAAGTCATCATTTCAGAGTAAGCAATGCATTCTGTCAATCTTCAGATGGTGGCATCCTGGTAATGCAGTTTGAGAAGGAACAAGAGATCTCTGTAGGCTCCACCTGCTGGACTTTTCTTGCTAAACCATGGGTCCCGTGATGAGACTTGATGTTGTATGGATCCTATGTAGGTTTCAGTCATGTTTTGTGGAGATATAATTGGCAGTTAGCAATGAGCAATAGGCAATTGTACAGTACACATGAAAGTCAGAGAATCTTCTTAATTGAAATCAATTAATCTCTGATCTCCTTCAGCAGAGGGTAGAAAAAAAGCAATAAACAATCCCATGACTTAATTGTTTGGAGAGGCTGAATATCAGGCATTGTTAGATGCCCAGTCAACACAGATTTATTATGCCAAGATTAGAGTCCCAGAAGGGAAAACTTAGGGACCTGATATTTGAGATAGCAAAATCTTGGTGGAAGATTTTTGACTGCCACAAACTACTTATTAAGAATTAGTATCAGCAGGACACCAGTGGCCCACACCTGTATTTATAGCTACTTGGGAGGCTGAGATCAGGAAGTTCTCAACTCAAGACCAGCTCACTCAAGCAAAGAGTTCATGAGACCCCATCTCCAAAATAACCAGAATGAAATGAAACTGGAGTTATGGCTCAAGTAGTAGAGTGCCTGCTTTGCAAGCATGAAGCCCTGAGTTCAAACCCCAGTGCCACCAAAAGAAAAAAAAAAAAAAAGAATTAGTATCTACTCTCTTCCTCAGTTCTGGAAAATAATTCAGGGGTTTCAGCCTGTCCAGGCAATATGCACCTCTCTTAGGACTTACCTCCTCCTACTTTCCTACCATAAATCCTATAATTAGGGGTAATTGCAGCATAATCGGATGGTGAGGTGCTGGGATTATATCCCAAAGGAGTTAGAGCAAGCTAGCATCTACCAGATACGTTAAAGTAAGCATGACATTGGGTACTGAACCTGTTTGATCAAGTGGTTGGGAAACAAAATAAAATGGGAACAAACACATGTCTTTGAGTACTCTCTCACATAGAAGATTCAATATTTAGCTAACACCTAAGGATGTGGAAAAATGTTTTACTAAAATTGCTTCCAAAAGAATGTAAAAAGTAATAAGCTTTAGAGGTCCATTGCACCATGGAACCACTTTCCAAATACTGTAAAAAGGCAGAGGATGAAGGAGAGGTAAGGAAATACAATAAAAGAGGTGAACATGTTCAGAGTACTTTGTATATATCCATAGTATTATCACAAGGAAACCCCCTATAATATTAAAATATGCTAATAAAAATATTAAAAAGGTGATAGCCTACACTGAAAAAATTGAAGTATAAGAATTGTAGATATCATAATATGTACAATGGAGTTTTTACTCAGTCATTAAGAAAAATGAAATTATGTTTTTGTTTTTTTGTTAGAAAATGGATGGAACTGGACATCCTCATGTTAGGTGATATAAGCCAATTGTATAAAGATAAGTATCACATGTTTCCTTTTATCTGTGGAAGTTGAGGGGGGAGAAAACATGAGCAAAAGAACAAGGTTATGAAATAGTGGGGGGAGACTTCTAGAGGGGTGGAAAGGAAGTCAAAAGGGGAAAGAGGGATAGGGATAACAGCAATGGAGGGGTAAAAATGATCAAAGTACATTTTATGCATGCTTGGAAATGTCATAATGAAGCCCCTTACTACATACAACTAATAGAGACAAATAAAAAAATAAATAAAATATGAAAATAAAACAAAAAGAATAGCAAAATGTAGAGAAATGAATTAAAAGACTAAAAAATGAGCATGCTGGAATAAATAAACTACAGCCAGAACACCTGACAAGTATTCTGTGTCTTAGGCAGACCTGGAAGACACACTGTTTCCTAAGCCTAAGGAATGTACTGGTGAAGATGCATTAGAGAGAATTGTGGTTTTATTCTGTAAACCAAGGTTGGTGTTAGGAAAGGCTGTTTCTTTAATTTCACATGAACAGCAATAGGAAAGATAGGGCCTTGAAACTACAGATTTTAAAGGGAATTATGATTGTAATAATAAATGATACAACTAGACTAGTAGCAATAAAAAAGGAAATTAAAATTAAAGGAAATTAAAATTAAATTACATTAATTTAAATAAAAATTAAATTAATACAATTAATTTAAATAAAATAAATTTAAAATTAATTAAAATTTTATGAACATAGTTAATATTCTAGATGTTCTGTAGAGGCAAAATAATATACAGTTGTAGCAATACTACTTAGCTTGTGTTCACAAAATACATCAAAGATGAACCCTGACATGGTGAGTAATTAGTCTTTGAGAATTTACATGCCCTTGCCTAGATTTCAGATCTGGGTTTTTTCAGATTCTGAACCAATTCACTGGAGAAGCAAACAGCAAGAATTTTCTTTTAACTCCATGGTACTTGTGCACAGTCACATAGTACTGATTTTCCTGTCTTTCCCCAAAAGTATTTATGACCATTTGCTTGAGTATATGCACATTGGTTAAAAAATGAATAGACATTTTGAGTACTGTTGGATAGAGGATCTGAATTGACAGTGACATCTGGAGTGCATCCTTGCAATTGATATTTTTGGTAATGACTCAACCCCCATAATATGTCCTTGGTTAAATGAGTAGGAGCCTTTACGGTGAGACAAAGTAGAAGTCTGTGAAATTACCTTCAGATTCTTGGGTCAAATAAGTGAATTTTAAAACAATACTATCTATACCTTTAGAGTCACTGATGGAAATTATCATAAAGTCCCTATATTTCCTTTTAGTTTGCCATCATGATCTTTGGTCATCATTGAGATCTTGGGGAAATAGTGTAGACTGTTGTAAGTTCAACCAAGTAATAGTTGCAACTACCAGATAGACATAGTAACGTAGATTAGCTAGTTTTAGGTCCTGCCGATGGTCATTTATTTATTGGACACTTAAAATATCCCAATAAGGAAAATTTAAAATGATCAGAAACAGAGACCAATACACATTTACAATTTTGCCAGTTTCATCTTAATTCTCACATCCCCTGTCATATATAGTTTTATTGACTCTGGGTTTCAATACTAGTAAAAAGAAAAGGGAGAGAACAAGATTTTGCAGTGAGAAAAGCAGAAGCAATATAGCCCTGAGAAAACTCTTGCCAACCCAGAGGAGAAGTCTGGGTTGGATGTCATCAATTTGCATGTTCCCAGACAGACCTGAGTTCTGCTTGTGCAGCAGTAGATTACCTTTACCTGAAGATCAGTGTTAACTGCTCCCAAGGACATGGTGAGTCCTCTTCTTGGCTGCTGCTTCCTGAGTACCAGGAGACCAAATTTCCCTGAGGAGATCTGCTGATTTCCCTTAGAAAATGTATGCTTCCTGTAAGGCCAGTGCCTTTGTCTCACAAATTCCACATTTGTGGGGAAGAGCATACCATCTCCCATGATCTATGTATTCTTTCTTTTTGGGTTTGCAGTATGCATGAATGTTTTGGGTTCAATATGTATCTTGAATACATGACAAAATTTTGGCAAGCAAAGAACAAATATAGGGATGGAAAACAGAAAGATAAGACAGAAAAAATGGAAACACAATGTAAGTTGTTTACTAAAGTGAAGTAATACAAAGAGAAAAACAAATTAATGAAACACCCAAAAACCTAGTAACAATTGTACATAAAAAATGGATATGAAATAATTATGCTTATAAATCTATAGTCATGCAATTAAAAATATTAATTTATTGATTTTTAAACTTAAGAAAAGTATGGGGTTTCTCTGGATGATAGAAAATAATAGCTAAGCTATAGAATTAACCTAACAACCAATGAATGGGTAAAGAAAATGCATTACATATAAATTATGGGGCATTATTCAGCAATAAAGAAGAATGAAACTAGCCAGTATGGTGGCTTGTGCCTGTAATCCGAGGCACTAAGGAGCTGGAGATCAGGGAGACTGAGGTTTGAGGCCAATCCAGGCAAAAAGTGCAAGACCATATCTAAAATGTAACTAAACCAAAAGAGGTTGTGGCATGGTTCAAGTGGTACATTTACAATGCTTGTCTAGCAAGTGAAAGGCCCTGAATTCAAACCCCAGAACTGCCAAAAAGAAGAAGAAGAAGAAGAAGAAGAAGAAGAAGAAGAAGAAGAAGAAGAAGAAGAAGAAGAAGAAGAAGAAGAAGAAAAGAAATTATTCATTTGCAAGAAAATGGATGGAACTAGATAGACCATGTTAAGTGAGATAAGCCAAGCTTGAAATGACAAATATTGCAATATTTGGTTCAGATGCAAAATCCAGACCTAAAAAAACAACAAAACGACATGATTGTAAAAGGGGAACTTTTAAGGCATGAACCAGTGGGAGGGCAAAGTGCACTGAGTATATATGCATGAAAATAACATAATTAGAGCAACTAACAACTGTAAAAAAAAAGGTGGGGGATGAAGAAGAATAAAGTTAAGAAAAAAGCAGAAGTAGTGAATTTGATCAAAATACATTGTATGTAGGTATAGAAATGTCACAATGAAAGCCCTTTGTGTAAGTAATTCATGATAACAAAAATATAGTCAATTGAAGGAAATGTTTATGGTCATAAATATTCTCAAGTGAGGAGTTAAGAGATATAATTTATAATTGTTTGAATGAGAAGTATAACTATGAGTATATTGTTTAAATGTTCAGCATGATCTATAAAAAACTAAAATAATTATGTAAGCATATTAAGAAGGATAAGGTAGAAATAAGCATTTTTCAGTTAAAGGAGAATTCTTATTGATTATAAGTCAATTGGTATTATCCAAAGGGGCAAATGAAGAAATCATGTGCTGTCACTATAAAAAAGTGTAAAATGTATGAGTTGATGAATATGATGATTATCCCTATTTGACCATTATGTTGTGTATGTATACAATAACAGATTGTAACCCAGAAATAAGTATAAGCAAAATGTGTCAATTTTATCTGAAGGTTGGTGTAGTGGGAGCAGAGAGGATATAAGGAAAGGATGTAGGAGGGTGAATGTAGAGGAAATATTATGTACTCATTTATGAAAATGGAAAAATGAGACATGTTGAAACTACTCTAGGACTGGGGATAAGGGGGTACAAAGGATAATGATGAAGGTGCTGAATTCAACCATGTTATATTGTAAGAATTTTTGTAAATGTCACAATGTACACTCAGTACAACAATAATATGATAATAAAAAAATATATAACATCAACATATTATTGAGATAGCTAGATATTAATACTAGAAAAACTTCTAAGAGAAAAAAAATTAAGCCACGAAAAGTGATTTCCTTTGTAGTGTATTCCATTTTTTAAACTGATATATAAAAATATAAAACTTGTACATGTTTATGGGGTATCGTGTCATGTTTTAATATATGTATGCATTTTATGTATGCAATGTATAATGTTTAAATCAGAGAAAACATATTTATCTCCCCAAACACCTTTCAATTCTTTATGGTGAAAATATAATATAAAATGTTATTTTCTATTCTTATCTCTGTAAAAGAGGTTTGTTTCATCTAAATCTGTAATTCAATCAGAAGTAAAGGTCAAAGGTTCTTGGTATCCCCCTAGGTTTCTACAGCATTATTTAAATCTGTAAGGCTAAATTTACTTCATTTTCTCTATTTGCCTCTCACTCCCATTAGTCATTAGTCTAACTCATATATATATATATATCTCATATATATATATATATATATATATATATATATGTTTATACCAGGGCTCATGAGTGTCTCACAATTTTAAGTTGATTTTACAGACCATTCTATAACATGGTCAACTAATAAATGTCCTAGATGATAATTGAACATTCATGTAGCTCTGTGGAGACATTGTGCTGGCTCTCTATCAGGAATTCTTTCAGGTAAACTTCAAAAAACAAGGTGAATTAAACACTGAGTCACTCTTTCCCAATTGAATTGCCAGTGGCATGACAAAAAACAAATTTCCTAGTTCTGGAAAATTCCCCTCACCACCTACTCTTCCTTTCTCTGTTATCTTCCGGAGTCATAGAAAAGATAGTCAAATGTTCCTATGTCCTCAAAACTTCTTTTTCTCTTGCCACTGAAATAGGCCATCCAGCAGTTCAAAATAACCCAGACTCTGCTGAGAAAGATCTCAGACACAGGCTGTTCTTCAAAGTTAATCTTTAAGATGGTGGTTAGTGTAGGGAATCAGAAATCCTAAACTCTGTGACTCCAGAAACCATCTTGAGATGTTGGAGCTACACTTGGGTAATTCTGATTGCTTTTAGCCAAAATAATAACCGGCATCACATTAGGCGCACAGAAAATTCAAAGACTGGCCCTTACATCAGCCTTTAACTGCACCTAACAGCCATGAAATTCCTGTATGGCACAGCCAGCAAGACATGTGCCGCCCTGGGGAAAAAAGCCCCTGGTCATTTCTTTTTTTCTCTTTCTCCCAATAAGCAGAAGACAAAGCATCAATCAGTATCGAACTCTGTGACATCCTGGACCCCTAAACTGTGGAAGGCCTCCCTATGCTGTGCCTTTCTCCCCACCAGCCAGTTTCAAAGCTGCTTACATGAATCTGTAGAATGAACAGGTGAGCACCATGCACCATGCACCACTCATGACTCCCTTACCTACCCCCTAGAAACATAATGTACACAGTACCTGGGCAGACTAAACCTCACCACAACAAAACTGAAAAGCATAAACAGTGAACTGCAATCTAACACCAACAACAAAGGTGGGAGTAGAATGCTGAACCTGCCCCAGAGAACCGGGGTGGAGCAAGGAGCCAAATTTTCATTGAACAAACGCAGATAAAGCAACAAAGGCTGAGAACAGGGGGTGGGGTGACAAGCCAACCTTCCAAAGTGGGGCAAGTGGTGGATCCCAGAGCTGATCTCATGGGACAGAGGACAGTATTCAAAACTGAGTTGCCTCACTTTGCTGGGGGAGAAGCTGACCAAACAGAGTAGCAGTTGAAGGGCAATGTAGCCCTTGTCTGGTGAAAACAACAGCTCTGATCACTCTGCACAAACTAGCAGACTTAAATCACCTCTCAATTGCAACTAACCCTGTGGACAGAAGGAACCAAATACTTCTTACTAGCCAGTCACCTGGTGAGACCACATCAAAGCTCATGCTTGTACATCAGTACCAGGATTGGATGCCTAAGGAATAACTCCAGAACTTTTACCAAAAGACTGAACTTTGTGTTTTTCCTGTACCTGGTGTTTTTTTGTTCTGTATTTTTTTCTGTATTATGAACATCACTATCATTATTTTCCTATTCTTATTCTTACCCCCTTCAATTTCACTCTTTTTCCTGTGTTACAATCCATTGTTCTCCCTCTCAACTTTTCATTCTGACCCTTATCATCCACTCTTTCCTCCTGTCTTCAACTCTCCTTCCTATCGTCATTCAACTTGTCACCACCTACCCCTCCCACCTATACATTCACCAACTGCTTACTAGCCTACTGTACCTAACCTCTGCAATCCCTGACACAAGCACTCTCTACTACAACAACAGAAATAAACCTATACATGCACAAGGGCCACAAAACCCAGCAGCCACCATAACTCTTCCTCTACCCACCCACCCTTTATTACCACCCCTGTTTTTTAGTGACACTTTTATCCATTACCCAGATTCCTACATCAAGCCTAATCATTACTCCCCCAACTCCCGATGTTCGCAGATATTATCACCAAGGGGTTTTCTATATAATGGGTAAATAATTGGTCTGCCATTGAACCTGAGAATTTTTATTGCTAAATGACAACTCTAGTCCAGGGACAGAAAAAACACATCAACCTAGCTAACAACATAGTCACAACACAAAAATTAAATCAAGGAAAAGAAGACAGGCAACTAAAACCACCAACTAATCTATCAAGAACATAGTTGCACAGCACCATGTGGAGCAATGGGGAAGAAGAAGAAGGGATGGAAACCACTTTCCTTAAAAAAATAATTCAATACAGGATTTAGTAGGAAATGAAGAAAGTAGATACCCAGTTGCTGACCCCAACCAAACAATGATAAATATCACTTTGAAGCCCAGTGATACCCACAAAAAAACCCTCAAAGAAGAAATCTTGGAAGAAATTACTGAGCAATTCATGGAGAAGACACGAGATGTGGTTAACCAGAATGTACAAGAGACATTCAAGAAATTTCAAGACACTAAAAAAATAAAGAACATGAGAAGACACAGAAACAAATAAATGAATTCAGAGAGGACTTCAACAAATACCAAAGTGAAACAAGGAATATAAAAAAAGAGATACATGAATTAAAGTTGACAACATCAAATATAAGAAAGGAGTTGAGCAAAGATGTGGAAAAACTCAGAAAAAGAATCAAACAGAAATCTGGGAAATACAAAGTCCTTCCTTTAGTCAAACAAAAAACACAGTGGAAGGCCACTCCAGCAGACTAGAA